CAGAACTTCCAAGTTTATCAGCAATGGGCAGTTACATGCTTTTCATTAACCCTGCGATTTAGTAACATGAAGAACCACAGACAGAATTTCAAGACATCCATCTATGTACTCTTTCAGTTTATACAAAATTTAAACTCCAAGTAACCCTGGTGGGTGAAATTAATGTACCCATGAATGTAACTGTGCTCCTGGCAAGTTCATCTGCACTTCTTTCATAAGAAAACTGACTATTAGAACTTAACTTCAGAGGCACCTACTCTATTTACTTTATCAGCTAATATTGTACGTCATAATGCTCCCATCAAAAATATATGTATTTTTCATCAAAACCTGCATTTATATAGAGATATCTACTTCATACACATGATGATGCACTATAACAACCTTTTTTCTGGCAAGATTTTAGGTTTAAAGAATACACAAAGCACTACCCAAAACTCAGGACTGCACTGCCTTCTGCCCGCACAGGAACACTTTCAGTTTCCACCTGATCAGCACCATAAACAATGCATACATTAGGCTCATTTGGGAAGAAGGAAAGGTTTGTTTTCTTGTACTAAACGGTTTTGCAAGTCACTGTGTCTCATGTATTCCCCATCCTGGTCTTGCACTTCTAAAAATTCAGGGCTGTCCCACTGAGCTGACCCAGGCCATCTCCACAGCAGTCTCAGCTCACTGCAATACAAACTGAACAAGGGAGAACTTCTCCCTGACCCACCCACCACCCAATGATTAAGCTAAACATTTGTGAATGTCTCCTTCTCAGAGCAACTTCCATAGGAAAGCAGGGAAATGCCCTTAGAGCACACCCCTCCCAACAGCAATGCCTGGTTTTTACCTCCACCCGGCTCAGCTCGCCAGCTTTTGTCAAACCTACGCCTAGGGACTTGGGACGGGATCTGCCGATTCCTCCAAGCAGGAGAGCACTTGCAACTCAGATGCTGCACTGCTGAGCACTGCCGTGCTCAAGATTGCTGGTCCATCGTGCCCAAAGGCATTAATCACTCCCTCTTCTAATTATACTCCCACTGCTTGCCAGGAGTTTGCTATTTTGTGGAATGCAGGCGGGACAACTTTCACCCCTGCCCCTTCCCTCCTTCTTGACTGAAAAAAAACCCCCAAACCCCACAGAGAATAATACAAACGGTTTGACAGAGGCAGGAGATAACCGTCCATCTAGATCAAGCCGTACCATGGTCACCCAGCCAAGGCACTCGTTCAGCTCGCACGGTGCCAGCTTGGGGACAGCAGCATGTGGCTTGCCGATGTCAAGGCACACTTTTTGCTAATTCTTAAAAGCTGTTCTTTAAAATCATTCAGTTTCACAAGCTATTTTCAAAGACTTTGCCATAGAAATGACAAGATCTTGAACTCCTCCTGCAGCAGAGCTCCTCACAGCCAGGCAGGAATGAAGTGACTTTGTCACCGAAGGAGCCCTGACAGGTTGGTCCCAGTATCCCTTGTCAGGGCTCCATCTGCTTCCAACAAGAAAGGATGGAGCACGGCAGGGAGGTGTCGCTTCAAACCGCAGCCCGGCGCAAGCTGGGGGGACAAGTCCACACATGAATGGCAGAGGGCAGCTGACTCACACAGAGCAGTGTGAAGATCTCCATACAATCTTCAGGGGGATATACTTGGTTTTTACATTATAATGTCAAACTAGTACAAATTGATGCAAATAAATGAGATTATGCTGTGTCTTTTTAAGAAGCTTGAGTCTCTCATGGATTCTTGGTTTTTTAACACTACGAAAGTTGAATTCCTCTGTACAGCTGTCAGGTTAGGTCAATTTAAAAACTGCCTTGCAAAAAGTCATGATTACTAATGTACTTGCTATTTACATTGCTCTGTGAAAGCCTACTGATATAATGCTCTGGCTGGAAACAAGAACAAAAAATATATACATGAATATACATGTACATATTTGTCATTAGGAACTAGTTACATCTGAGTGCCATTCTGATTGACCTGTCTGTAATTATTAAGATATATTCTAGAACCTCATCTGTTCTTAGGATAGAAGATTTCCTGCCTTCCTACTTTTTATTTAGGGGGTTTCCTGTTTCATGGCTCTGAGATGCAAACCTTAATCACACAGGACCAAAACAGGACTGCCATTAGAGGGATGAGTCCTTACAGAGTTTCACGATAAGGAACACACACTGAAGTTCTGAGCAGGGTATTCTAGGGAGACTTAAAGCAGAGAAAAAGGAATTTTATGTATGAAATGCTGACAAACACTTTTCCATAATTGTAGTCTGAATTCTATAACGACAGTTTTTGTTGGAATTATGTCTCTGCTTCCATTTGTCTTCCTCTGAGCATCCCCTCAAGAGCATACAGAAAAAAGACCCAGCAGTAGAAAATGCAAATTAAAGTAGTGGGGCCAAATGGCCGAGTCTGCACACACAGAGATCAACCACCGTCACTCCCACTGACATCAAAACCAGAGATAAAACCTCTTATGTGCAACACCAATGCAGAACCTGAACAGCACCGTGTACCAGTACACAGCTACTGTGGCTTTCCGGTTAGTGGCAGCTCTGGCCACCCTCATCCAGGACACAAAGGCCCTGTAAATGAGGAAGCTATTTCCCTGCCCTCCAGTGCTCAGTCCAGCTCACAGACACCACGTGACAGACTGGGCAAGGAGGATATGAGCAGCCATCTTCTCTCTTCCTCCTTGACAGGCTCCTGTGAGATAACCAAGTGTGTCTCAGCCAGAAGCATCATGGCAATGGTGAGTCAAAGGCGCTGGTCCTAGAAAGGATACACCTCCAAAATCAACATCCAGGGCTTCACAGCCAGCAGGGCAGGGCTGTGCCGGGGGAAGAGAATGGGCTCTGCTGCAAGGACCAGCTGCTACAGGGACTCTCTCTGTCTGTGGATCTTCCACTAAACTTTACAAGATGCTCGATGGATTTTAATGCAATTTTAATAAAACAGAGTGAAAAACATTATGATCGGTATTCTCAGCTGATACACCCACAGTGCTAGAGGAGGGGGTTGTTAAAAAAAAATTAAAATTACAAGAGTCCTTCGCACCAACACGTTAGGTAACTACAATTGTGCATACCTGATCTGCTTTTGTAAACACCTGTTTGCACATACAAGGATCTTGCACTAATTTGCAGGTTCTCGCCAGGAATAATAAAATCTGGCTTCAAGTATAGTGTAAGTGTAGGAGGTACAGCAAGCAGCAGCGGTTACAAATATTAGTTGTATAATCACAAGACATACCTTGCAGTTCACCTATTTTGATCTTGAGATGGCAGAGAAAGAAAAGCTAGCAAGGCAAATACTATATGGTCCAGCTACTACAAAGATACAACACAGAACTGAAAGTGAGAACAGATATTGAACAATTAATCGATCCTTCTTCTGCCCCTGCATCTGCTGCAAATACTGCTGTGCCTCATTTACTGGGCTCCTTAAACATGTTAAGGCAGAGCAGTGGGAAGAAGAGGCAACTCCACGCTCAGGTTATAAAAAAGAAAAAAAAAAACAGTAATATGTAGTTTAGATTATGACAAGTCAGTAATGATGGAGCAGGAGAAAAGGAAGAAATGGAACAGAATATCTGGAAAGAGGATGGAAAAAAATGAGAGTGAGAAAGAAGCACAGTTGGGGCCAAAGATTTTTTTTTTCCTTCCCAAAGAAGTGTGACCAAAGGACAGAGTTTTTTGCATGAAGTTATTTTCCTGAAGACTCTGTCAGCAGAACTTCTGCCAGCTGATTTCACTGCCTTAGCCAACGCACTGCATTCTGCAGCCCAGACCTGCATTTGTGAGCTTAAGCCTTCCCCAGTTCCTCTCATCTCTAGGATGACCACGTGGCTATTAGGCAGGGCTATACTTTACTCATATTACAATTAAACTACAGGAAAGCATGTAGGCATGCAAGGGAAGTGATGGTCTAGCTGCTACATAACTGCGGCCACAGAACAACACACAAAAAAAGCCCCCGTGAGTTCAATCTTGTGCCATCAACCACGTTTCACGTATTTAGAAGCGTGCAAATAGGTTTAAGTCATATTCACACACACCCTCCTTGCTTTGTTTAGATGCATGAAACCCGAAAGACCACAAGCTACACAAAAAAGTACAAAAAACTACCCGAAAGACAGTTTATCCTGCTGCCTGAATGATAAGTGAAAGGCAGCGGTCCTGCAGTGAGGGTGCCACGGCGCTGCTTTCGGGGAACCGAAAGCCAGTGCGAAGACGGGCATCTTTTGCACTTGGCAGCTCTCGGTGTGCACCTTCACAGCAGCGTACCCCAGCAGACTTCCTACAGCTAAAAAGCCCATCTGCAAACAAACTCTGACAAGATACAATAGACGGTAAACACTGCCTCCAAAACTGTGCAAACATGAGTTCTTTAAAAATCGGGTCTTCAGGGTCTAATGAATGTCCTTGGTACGTAAGTACAGCTTTTCACAGCGCTGGATACTCAGAACCAGGGCTGCAGCTCAGGACTTGCTGATTCCTAGCCCACACACAGCTCTTTGGACAGGACACGTACCAGCAAGGAAGCAGACGGAGGGGAAAAACGTATCTGTAGGTACTTACATGCAAGATGAAAATTAACTGCACTTTAGGCATACTTTAAAAAAAAAAACATAGAATAACCCTGTGTGACATACTGTTCCCTGAAAATCATCCACCTTAATCACAAAATACTTTGATTGTACATATAGCATTTAACACTTCTAGCAAACACTTGCTGCAATCAGATTCTTTATAGTAACAGTATGGTTAACCAGTTGCAGCATTAATCAGTCCAAAGCTAATTATCAGGGGTGTTTCAAAAATAGCATACCAAACAACAGGAAAAAAGCCAAATAATATTATACCTATTAGATTTTAGTTGATAAAAAAAGCCCAACTTAATAAACTATTCAGTGCAGAATCAAAACAATTTCAACAACATATCCTTCAATAAGCATGGTAATTCTAATGTTAGCCATACATCTTTTAATCTCCTTTTTTCTCAAGACTTACCTATGTTTTTCTAGTTCGTTGTGTGATGACCTATTAAAAAAAGAAAAGAAATATTAGAGAAAAGGATAGATACCAAGATTTAGAATATTTAAAAGCCAACACCTGCATAAGTTGCAAAAGAGCTCTCTAAAACATGTATTTATATGGATTATGGAACAGCTTTGCTGTAAATTGGTTCACTTTTACATCCCTTAGATACTTCAAGGTATCAACTTAATTTCCATGAGTAAACCGTGGGTTTGGGGAGGAATTATAATAAATTTGCATTTATTAGCATTCAATAGATTCAGAGACAGAATTGGACATAAAAAAATGAGCAGGTTAGTAATAAAAACAGCCTACAAGATTTTTATCTGTGAAGAAAAATTATGAGGCGGCAGAAAGTGTTAGAACATCTAAATGGCAACAGGTAAGAGTAAAAAGCACCTCAAAAGCCAGCTTTCAAGCCCACGGAAAAGCAGAAAGAAAAATCAGCAGCTAATCACTGCTGTTGCTGTTGACATCTTAATGGCAAAAAAAAAAGGCATCCTCTTAATTCTTCCAAGTCCACAAACAGAAAAAAAAAAAAAAAAAAATCACAGTCCCTGTACTGACCACATCAGTATGCTATTCTCTTCCAATCTACTGTGATTTGAGATTCCCCCCCCCCCAATCGATGCCTCAGGTTTTTTGCCTTTAGAAGGCAGCCCTAACTTCTTGGAGGATTTTTTTTTTAATTTATTCAGCTGGAAATATTAATTTTTTTTATTTACACAGCTCAGATTAAAAACACTCCTAAAATGAAGTTATTGTTGCTACTTCGAAACCAGCAACTTCCCAGACCTTTAGTTTTGTCCAACTGAAAACATTGCCAGTACGTAAGGATCAAAAGATAGAAAGGCAGTGGCAGCTTTTATGGCTGGCAGATTATGTCAAAGCAGCTCTCCTGCAACGTGCTGTAACCCCTGCCTGCATCTGGGCACGATGTGCTGACCGAGATGGCTTTGTGGAGGTGTAAGTGCACAGTCCATCGAGTGAGCAGAGACATTCCAGGGTGAGAAATTCTTCCTGCACAAATGCACAGCCTGCCCAGTGACAAGCCGTTCTGCCTCTCCCCGCACACGCGCATGCAGCTGGATGCTGCGGCATACCTAGGTGTTACTGACGATGAAAGCATCTCTCCAGCCTCAGAGAGGGGAAAAAAGAAAGCAAAGCTCATGCAAAGAAATAACCAATGAACAAATCCACAAACAATTTATTTCAGCCCAGCGCAGCTCCTGATCCTGCAAGGAATTAAGTGAACTGCCCCTCTGCAGGTAGAAGAAAACTCAAATGCATACAAGGTTCAGCACTGATGTTAATCCACTTTCACTGGAAAGCATCCCAGTATTGTTACCAAGACATGAGCTATGTCAACCATTACCTCGTATCTGTTTCTGAAAAGCCTATGATTTTTTTTTTTTAACTTGTTTCATCAAGTGAGCCACAATCAGGCAATGTATGTGTTTCCACTGTGCCATGTAAGTGCTCCTGACCAGTGCAGCAACACTAAAAGTGTTTTACACATATTCTGTGCTACGTTAAGGTGGGCTGGGTTTGCAGTGATTTACTGCCTTTGCCATTTGACCGTAATAAGGGAATATTGTTTTTATTTTCTACTCCTACACACAGAGAGATAGCTCAAACCTTTTCTCCATGAAAAGTGACAAACACTATGCCAAAGCTGCCAACGTTTATGAAAACACACAGAAAATGTAAATTCAGGAGGAACCATTCTCGCCCCACACCCCCAATGGGCCTGTCAAAGGCCCTGTTCGCAGGGAGTTCTGGAAGAGCGAGGAAATACAGGCTGGCCTAGATTCAGCCCTATGGCATGACCTCCCTGACATTTTTGGCAATTATACCCAAGACGAACATGGTCACTGTAACTAGCCAATTCCAACCTGCCTGCTCTAGTGGAGCTCACACCCAGCTCCGGTGACATGCATGGTGACCGCTGCACCAGCAGAAAAACTACTGGCCAAGAAATGCAGCCTGCACAGAGTATTTTGCTCGGTTAAGAGAGGATGCAATGAGTAGCTGGAAGTCCTTCTGCATGCAGCACACCTACAAGGCACCTCTGGCTCATGAAGGGTGACCCTGGTTTTCCCCTGGGATACGTCCTGCCAGACCAGCTTTGGAAGGGCACAGCTGCCTGCCCTGGTTATGCCAGCTACCAAACAGAGCAGCGGCAAACGTGCGCCTCTTTGCAGAGCTCTTTGGGATGCAGAAGCCTAATGGATGTGTGCAAACATCGGCACCAGACACACATTTCAGGAGGTGCAGGGAGGCTGACTAATGCCACAACTATCAGGCCCTATTCGCGAACCAAAACCGAGAGTTTTGGCATTTACCTGGCAGTTGCTCCAGCCACAGAACAGGCTAAATACCCTATTATAAGCATGATGTTTTTTTTTTTCTTTGTTGGGTTTATTTTCAGCAGAGATGAACCTCTCTCTAAATATTGTTTATTTTCTCCTTCACTGTCTACAGCACTGTATATTGCAAAAATATCCATCTCCTTCTGCTTTTCATGCAACCTGAAGCAAGGAAAAAACACGTAAGAATGGATCTACACACAAACCAGCAGCCCAAGCACTACCTCCATTTTAAAATGGAGTTTAAAAACTTCAATAAAAGATAAGGTGTGGGCCAGGACTAAGAAGATATATGGATATATATATTTATATAGCAGAGACAGATGTACAACTGTGGTTTTCAGACAAATTGTTCCGGTGGAGCCCTTCAAATGTGGCTATAAGAGAAGGAAGACTTTTGGTGTTTAGCTTAAGTTCAGTATATTAGGATCTCTATCTCCAGGCAGAACTTGGGGGAGTTGGGGGTAGCAGTGATGAAGGAAAAGTGTTAATAAAAAGGTCCAGATAAAAATAAAGGGAAAAAGACAACAATAAAAAAAATCATCAGCAAAATCACAGATTCAGAAGGAGGAGATCAGCAATGCTGCTGCTTAGACTACTGTTGACCTGAGACAGCCCTAATATCCCTTTAGCAAATGCCAAGCAGTTCACAAGCCATGAAGTACCAGTTAAAATTTCTTTGTGAATAAATTGTCAAAAGAAGATTTGAAAGAAGGGGAAGGAGCCAAGTAAATGCAGTTGTTGGTTTGCAAGATGCTGTGCCACTTCCAACAGCAAGTCCTTAACGCTGTCTCCTTCCACCACCCTCCCTGCCCTAAACAAGACTTCTAGGTACTTGTATTTGAGCATGTGGTTGATGCAACATTCAGCACAATTAGGACGGGTGCTAATTGAGATGATAAGACTAACCCAGAAAAGACAAGTCCCCCCCCCCAAAAGAATAACTTTCTACCAGTTTACCGGTAAGCCAGCAGGAACTGCCCACACGCGTACCAAGCTGAGATTTCACCATACGTGTGACGCGCTGCCTGTTTGGTTACTAAATCATCTTCCCCTACTCTTCCATCCATTTGCCCGACCAGACACTGCATCTTGTTGGAAGGAAACCAGCACAGCTCCTGACAAAAGCAGGGACTTATCAGAAACACTGCTGAAATTTCTTCCCCAATGCTCACGGGAGCCAGGTCCAGGCCACGAGTCACTGATATATGCTACCGGTTGCTGATGCATTTTGAACCGCTATAGGGAGCAGAGCGGGCTATTTAACGAAATGCTTAAAACAGTGGCAAAAGCCTTGCCTGCGCCAGGGCTTTCTGGTGCAGGCGGGGCTGGCAGGGTGTTGTACAACCCATGTGCAGAGGACACAATTCCACCTAAGCTCGCACACGGCACTTGGAGGGCCATGTGCAAACTACGTTGCCTGCACTTCACCTTTTGTCCAGGCCAAAAGAGTAAAAACAAACAGAGCAAGAAGTTTTACAAGGTGGTACATGCTAAGTGTCTGCATCTGATTGGCACTCCCAAGCGTGCCGGTGCGCAATAGCACGCAGTTCATACACCCGCAGTCTTGTCTGGATGCGACTGCTACAGAGCTTACGGCTGGCGAGATCCCGATTCGCTTCCAGGGAATTTTCTGTCTGCACACATAACCTGCCCTGGGACGCACCTGAAAATATTACAGCCCACCACACGAATCACCCAAGATGAGGAGTGGTGCAATAATAAACCTGCACATAAGTACACATCTTGCCCAGTATTCACGGCTCCTGGGTCATTGGGTTTTTTCCATTTGTTTTAAACTGGACACATCACTTACAGCCTGTCAAAGAAAGAGCCTGTGTGGAATTAATCCACTAGAAATGGCTTTTGCATTCTCCTCATAGCAAAATTTAACCGGCCCTGCAGATTCAGCTGGGATCTGGGAACCGGGCATACTGGCACAGCCTCGATGCAGAGCTCTGGCTCCAGTACCTCATTCAAGTTTGTGCTGCCACGTCTGTGGTGGCGAGGTCCGAACACGCTTCTCATATGGTGGCAATTTGTTTTCCTCAATTGCACGAGCACTGCAACTCCCAGGCATCGCAGACCTACTGCAGTTCCTCAGGGGTGACAGACCAGTTGGTGAGATCTATTATATTGGGACCAAAATGCATCAGTTTTAAAAACAAGTGTGGTGATATCAATCGCTGTCCCTCTGCCGCCAGCTTTAGGAAAGCAAACCCAGAGGATCTATTGAATTCAGAAAGCCAGGCAAAAAACTAGAGGAGCCATGTCTGCACAGTCTGGTTTGCAGTGTTTTATACTCGGCCTCCCACAAAAAAAAAAAAAAAATTAAGGAGAAATAAAATAAAAATCAGGCTCTGATCCCTAAGCTGCTTTGTGTGGGCACAGAATAACATCTGCAGAGAGCAAGGGGCTCACTCTGCGGGCCACAGGTTGACCCTCACCATGAGCCAACATTAACAGAGGAATTCGGACATTAAGCTCTGTTTTTATTTGAAACACCAAATGCAGCTTTCATCTTTTTCTAGCTATAACCCTTCGCCAGAACACAGCACAAAGTACAAGTCTATTTATGTAACACATGAGCAAAAATATTAATTGATAGATACAGAAGATACATTTATAAACTGGCATTTATTTTGCTCCCCCTCCTTCAATAAACCAGCTCCTAAATTAACAGGCCAAACACACTGCACCACCAACATCCAATTCCTTTCTCTGCAAGTAAAGTTAACTGTGACCTCAGTAGACTCATATCTAACACTAAGATTTTAGTTTTCATGTTACCTTACTTCTGACCCTTTCATGGCAAAGCAGCTGCCCGAGCTCCCCCATGCACGGGCAGACACGCACCTCACACCCACGCACAGCTCAAGCCACCCCACACCCGGTGAGTGTCATTACAGCCAGGGCAGAAGAAAGCCCAGCTATCTGCAGGCTAGTGTGGTTTTCTGTCAAAAAGTGCCTTGCCTCGTGAGCAAATGTCACCAAATTTCAGATTTGCGTCATATTCCTCCTCGGCACATTACACATGTGTTACCTATCCATTTCCTTGGATTAAACGGCAAGCTTGGGGGGGGACTTTTGAATATTTGTTATTAAGATATCCAAGGCACAACTGCACTAAATCCATCTGTTTGTTTCATGCCTTTTCTTTAATTCCAACTACACATTAACAAGAATTATTAGACTGCATGGCACTGCTTTAGGAACTACAGCCACTGCTCAGTGGAGACATTTATTGTACTGTGGTCAAGTGCCTGATAAGTATTAGTGTAACAAGAAGATGTGACCCAGGTTTACTTCCCCCCCTAAAAGACAGTCTTGTGCCCTTCTCTAATCTCCTGTCCTCTTTGCAAAACAAGAATCCGGTTTCATTTGCCAGGGGATTTTGGTCAAAACTACTGGAGGGGAACATGTCTGAATCTCAGCTGAGGACACGGTACAAACAGCAAACCGGAAAAAGGGAGAAAACAAAGCAGTTTGGTTTGTGTGACATGGGAAAGGGCACATCATAGGAAACTGAGTGAGAAGAAAACACATAAAATCAAGTAATTTTAATGTAGAAGTGAAAAAGAAATGGCTAAAAATTGTGTCTGATTGCTACCAATAACCCCGAGAATATTGTTCAGCAACAAACTGCTAATGACCACTTCCAATTTTGATCCAAAGCTATCAGTGGACAAAGCAAAAATGTTAAATTCCTGTGGTGGACAGAAGGCTTATAGATTTTGGTTAATTAAATGCAATTCTGCTGGTATTTTTCCCTGCATGAATCCAAACCTGTCAAAATTACTTCTCACTTAATCGCAGTCGAGAGGCCGGCAAGCTTTTAGCCCAGACCTAACCATCCTGTCCAAAGGGTGGGCAGCCTTCCTCCTCCTTCTCCTCCTGCAGGTCTGGGCCTCGCTAGCCTTCGACGAGAGGATGGAGGTCTCAAGATACAATTTCGTACATGAACATCACCACCACCTCAGCAGAGGAAGGAGGCGTCTATCAGTTCTCTCGCTGAACAGGGCAGCTGTAATCCACGCCTGCCCGGTCCTCCAGCCCGCAGCGGCCGGTCAGCACACCTGAACTACACGGGGTACACTCTTCGCCCCCGCAGGCAGGCAACATGGGGGAGAAAATACAGAACAAAGAAGAAGGGTACAGCACACCAGGCTTCCTCACATCTGACAGTTTTTCTCCTCCTCCTCTCTTTTCTGATTTTCCCAGAATGAGGAGGAAGACGTTTTTCATGCTTTTATATATGTATAGGTCATAAAGCATGGAAAAAAAAAAAATATACATACATATATATATCGCTTTTTAATCTGATCAGATGCTGCAAGGAGCAGGATACAAAAATAGATAATGAAAACAACAACAAAGCCCCTGCAGTTTTGAAATGTGCAGTTATCTGCTCCTTTCCTACTCCCCCAATCTGAAGTATGTATTTTTCTATATAAGAAAAACAATGCAACAATAAGGCATAAATTTCAGACATGTACGCAATCATGCCTGCCTGCATCTGATGCTCCAAACCCAGTGCATCTGGAAAATGCTTCAAGTGGAACAATATGGACAAACACTTTGCCCGGTGGTTCACATCACCCACGACCACTCCAGATCCTCTGAACTTTGGCCAGTCGTCTCCCTCTGTTAATCTTTGAGTTGCTTACAAAGATTTAACTGTATTATCAAAAATTCAAACTCTAGTCTGGGACTCAGACCCTATAGCCTATAAGCTCCAAATAACAATAAACCAGTGATGCTAGTGTACTTCAGGCATTTTAGATTGGATGTTCAAATGTAAGGATATTTCTCCCCCTCAAATCTAAGCTCACAGGCAGACTTGAGCAGCGATTGCTAGATGTGGGTACAGAGTCTGTAGGTACAACGCAGAGGTGCCCACACGGCCCTGCTGCTGCACCTCCGTCCCTGAAATAGCAGGGTGCTGCACTGAAGCAACGCGCCTGTTTCCCACACAGGCAAGCAAGGCCAGTGTCCATGCTGAACCAGGCAAACCACCGTCCTGGTGGTGGCCACCCTTGAAACTGTTTCTCGACAAACATTATCCTGTCCTGTAACACAAACGACTCATCCCTAATCTAATCACTGCAGCTAGAAGAAAGTGTAAGTAAATGTACACATCATGTACTGCAGGATAGCATTTTTGAAGGTTGCCACTGCTACAGAGTGAGAATCAGAGCGAAAGACTGAACAGGTAAATATAAATCTACAGGAAGAAAAAAAGCAGGAAGGTAACTGCAAGCAGACGTGTATGCCTCAGCTTTAATAACGCTAGCAAATCTGTAACCAGGAATCTTTTAATTCTGCTGTATTTGATAGATTACAAATCCTCTCCTAAAAACTCCTAAAAGCAGCTTACAGTACAGACAAATAACTGTTCTGTGGCGGATGACAAGAGACCTAAGAACGGAAACGATGGAATAATAGCTCTGTAAGTAACACAGATTTCTTGAATGCAAGAGACAGAAAAGAAGAAATCCGTACAATTCAATGAGCAGTTTACAGCTGGAAATCCTATGAGACCTGTTTTGGTTAACTGTGAATTTTTTTTGAAGGCAGCAAGCATACTTTGTAAGAAAATAATTAAAAATCTTCAGGAGCAAAGTGTCTCACGAAACAAGACACGCCTCCCACTCCTGATGACTTTCTTTTTTAAAATGAACTGACGTCTTCTCTATGCTCTAAGATGAGACAAAGAATTCAACTGAAAACAAAAAATGTAGGAGTACTGCAATTAATAACCTCTGAAATGGTTGCCTTGCTTAGAGTAGGGGCATAGGGGAACAATTTGCTCCCCCTCAGTTATCTTCAAAACGCATTGCTCGGCTGCGGTAGGCACGACCAGGGAGCTCACTAGCTTGTGTTTTTCTCAAGGAGGGAGCTCGTCAGCTTTTGATTTCAGTTTGCACCTCCAGTGCCCCACGAGCAGCCGCTGGCCCTCTGCCCCATACCTCCCCAGCGCCAGCAGACCCAGCTGCCCACTGCCTTGCGGGATGCCCGCTGGAGGAGCGAGAGCGGAGCGGTCCGCCAAGACTCACTGCTCATTTGGAAAACAAGTCACATGCAAGCCGAGTTCATTTTAGGCTATTCTACAGGAGCCACCATCCAGCACGACCGTGCAGACTGGAGCCTGCGCTGGGGAGAGCATCCCCGTTCCGGAGCGAAGCAGGCCCAGCTGGGCACAGTCCTCGGTCCTCTCCGGAGCAGCCCTGGAAGAGCAAAGCAGAGCAGGCACAGCACAGGACTGGAGGAGCTCCCAGGCAGGGGCCGGCACTGTCCCTGTAAGACAGCCTCCTGCACGTACACAGCCGCTGCCCGAGCAGCAAACAAAGCTGCAGAGAGCCTGCGCACAGCAGCCCTCCGCTCATGCCATCGCAGCACAGGTAGCGGCTGCGGGGAAAACAACAAAACCACCACTACCACGCCAAAGAGGCGGACGATAATCGTGATAAATAACGACCGAGTCATGCACTTTGACGGATCTGCATGCGGTGGGCAGGCGGGCTGGCGACCCGGCGGTGCAGCAGAAGCCCTGGAGAGGTTAAGTTCACTCCAGCACCTTCTCCTTTAATACCTACAGGAGAAGTTCAAGTGCGCGGGTGGGTCTCCCCCCACCACCCCGCACATGCTCCCCCTCCAAGAGCCCGGCTGCAACTGGAGGCTGCATCTGCTCTGGCTGCGATGGGGGAGGCGGACGGTTTGCTGCCTGTGGTTTATAAATAAATGCCAGGGGGGAAATTAGTGCCATGCAAAGAGAAGTCTGGGTGGCGATTATGGTGTTAAGATCTCCAGTAAAAGCCGCATAAATAAATGCGGGGGAGCGAAATTAGGGTCATGCAAAGAAAAGTCTGGGTGGCGATTATGGTGTTAAGATCTCCAGTAAAAGCCGCTGTCGGTGAGTGCGGAGCAGAAGGAGCGATGAGGGCGGATGGTTTAGAAGTGCAGTGAGTACTAAGGAGATGGTGTACGCGTGGCAGTGTTTATATGAGAGATCAAAACAGAGCCAAGCCCATCCAGGGAAAAAATGGCGACTACCGGGATGGGGGAAACTAAGACACAGGATTAGTTATTATTTTTAATAAATGTATGCACTGCACATAAGCTAGACACATTGGAAAAGCTGCCGATTCATTCTGAAAAAGCGGTGCGTCTATTACCTGTTATTCTGGGATTTTCTGGCCATGGTGCCTGCCTTTGTTTTCTTTCTGGAATAGTCACTATCGAAGGGTAACACTGATGCATAGCCATGTTCTGCTTCTAGGGACAAAGTCAGCATTAGTGGCAATATATTTTTTCCATGCATTTTTTTCCTCCTTTGCAGGAACGCTAGGGTAAAGAACAGAATTTTTTCCGGTTGATTTGTTTGGATTTTATTCTG